GTCCATTATTTTAATTTTAAAGTTTATGATTATGGGACCAGATCGTCAGATTTCAAACGAATCAGCATAATTCGTTTGAAATCAATGGAGCTATGCTGATTTACAGCAGCTCAAAATCTGATCCACAATCCTTTTGAAAAATGAGACAAAGCAATTCTTTAGAAGACTTCTATTTATTGCAAGATTTTTGCCTTGGTCATTGTTCATTTAATACAGTGTACACTGGAATAAAGGAAGTACTAAAACTGCAGAACATTTTCAATATTCACACTAATTAACCAATACAGGGAGAACCAGTAAGAAGGGTTTCATTCATAAATGTGCTAAGAGACGCCTCCTATTAAATACTTTACATCAACTCTCATTGCTTTCAGTGAGAATTGGAGGCACTCATCTCTTTGCTGCATCAGGCCCATCATTTAACAAGACAGGCAGTTTGGTGCACAGTGCAACTTGGTCTGTATTGAAGTCTCAACATTCATGTTCATAAAACTGCTACAGCACTTGCATGTGTTAGTGTTTGCACAAGTTTGAGTAATTTTTTTCTGTTAAATAAAATATTTTCTCAACAAAATATCACCATAGGTTAATGTCTACAGTACATGTTTTTCAAGTATCAGAGGGGTAGCCGTGTTAGTCTGAATCTGCAAAAGCGACGAGGAGTCCTGTGGCACCTTATAGACTAACTGAAGTGTAGGAGCATAAGCTTTCGTGGGCAAAGACCCACTTCGTCAGATGCATGTAGTGGAAATTTCCAGAGGCAGGAATAAATAGCACATATTTTGTATATTCTCAAGGCAATGACTATTGTAATTTTTAAAATAAGCATTTTTTCAATGACCCCGTTTTGATTTTAAAAAATCAACTCCCGCTAATTTCATGTATCTGAAAAATGAAAATACACCTATTTTCATGCTTTGGAATAGTCACACCTGTGCAAAAGATTTACATGGGGACCGTACATCATGGAAACCCAATCTTTAGAACTTCAAGTGTCCTGACCTTGTACTGGTCCCTTTCACAGAGGTGAATTTCACACTCTGAGAATGGCTCTGATCTAACACATTTCTTTTTTAAACATACTGTCAAAATGTTTAATTAACTTACCTTATAAAATCACTATATGCCATTGTTATTATTAGTCAATAGAGTAAATGTTACTAATAAAACTGAGAGAGTGAACAAAAAGAGGCCTATCCCTCAAACAGACATATGTCTTTTTACTTTGATACGGAATCCCATTTACTTCTCTCAATTACCAATTGATTTCTCCCTGTACATGCTCACTTCTTTCCTTCTGCCTGCACTGGCTCTGCCTTCATTGGCTTCTTCATTCTTTGCTCACTGTCCCCTTTTCCTTAGTACAGGGATGGAGAACTTCAGGCTAGCTTGCCTGGATCCAGCCCCTGAGACTCAGGGCCTCCCTCCAGCATTGGGGAGTCTGCACTGGCACTCTCTCGCCCCCCCCCCCAGCACAGAAAATCGATTAGACTGGGCACCCCTAGGCTCTGGTGTGGAAGAGGAATGTGGGAAGCTGACTTTTTCCTTCTCAGAAATTGAAAGGGAGAAACTTACTGAAGAGGTGAAATGGATAGCAGTTTGGACTGTAATTCCCCAACTGATGCACCCTGTATGGCTACTAAACCTGCAAACCTTCCCCTATAGCAGCATGAATAGACACTTGTTTGGGGCATCTTCCCACTGAACTAAGACAGTCAACAGGAATGTGCAAGGAGAGCTGAATGCAACTATGCAGGGAATGGTACTGAGGGGGTGAAAGGAGGAAAAGGAAGATGCAACAAATCACTGGAAGGCACTGAAATCAACAGCAAAATTCCCATTCACAACAATGGGAGTAGAAAAGAGTCTTAAATGCCTAAGAACCTATATGCACTAATCATGCAAGGGAACTCAATATTGATTTATGTGCTGCTAGTAATATTTAACCAAATAACTATAGAATACATTCTTTGGGAGGCTACTGACTAAAGTCATAATAAGTGATGCGACATGACTAGTAAGAAAAAATATTTAGTTTTAATGGGAAAGGCAGGTAATCTTTTTAAATATATATATTTGTGTTTATATGTGCTAGAATATTATATGTATAACATAATTTGCTCTTTACCTAAAGAGAGTGAAAAACTAATCTTGAGAACCTAAAATTAGCCACTCTCACACACTACAGAAGATAACAAATAGTCAGGTAGCACTTTATAGACCAGTGGTCACCAACCAGTCGATTGGGATCTACTGGTAGATCTTGGAGCCTCTGACAGGTGATCCTGAAAGGTTTGGCCAAGAGGCTATCAAGTGCTGGCACTTCAGCTGCCCCTTTCCCAACTGCTGTGCATCTCCTGCCCTTTGCCTTGGAGCTCCCCCCCCCGCCGGGAGCCTCCTGCTTTCTGTGCCAGTGGGATGGGTTTTCTGGATCAGGTGCTATATATAAGAGTTGGTCCTTCCTTCCCTAGTAGTTTAGATCCTCCGATTTAGCTCACACTCACACCCCCACCCTCGGCCCCAGCCTGATGAAAGGGAGTGTGGATGAGCAAGAGAGGGAGGGCAGGGGCAGGGCTTCAGAGAAGGGGAGGAAGGAGGCAGGGCAAGGGGATTTATATTTGAGGTAATCTTGGATTGCACTTAAATTCAAAAAGCGCTCTGGTGCTCAAAAAGGTTGGAGACCACTGTTATAGACTAACAAAACATGTAGATGGCATCATGTGCTTTTGTGGGCACAACCCACTTCTTCAGATGACCGGAGTGTAAGATGACTGTCAACATTAGACAGTACAAGGCTGCCAACTGCCAGAGAATAGACAATAAATGGTCTGCCGGCACTAGTAAGCTTCCTAAAAGAAACATGTCATGCCAGGGAGCACAGACCAAAAAATCTACAGCCCAGGCCCTCTAGAGAACTTGGGGAAATGAACCGGAATAGAGATGCAGCCGTGTTAGTCTGGTGTAGCTGAAACAAAAGGCAGGACTATGCAGCACTTTAAAGACTGACAAGAGGGTTTATTAGGTGATGCGATTTCGTGGGCCAGACCCACTTCCTCAGCTCACGATAGCGCATCACCTAATCAACCCTCTTGTTAGTCTGGTGTAGCTGAAACAAAAGGCAGGACTATGCAGCACTTTAAAGACTAACAAGATGGTTTATTAGGTGATGAGCTTTCGTGGGCCAGACCCACTTCCTCAGATCAAATAGTGGAAGAAAGTTGGCACAACCATATATACCAAAGTGATA